AAATCTCCCACCCCTCAGAGCCCCCCAAATCCAGCAGCCCCAAAAATCCCCCCCAAAATCCCCCCTAGGCTCAGAGAGGGGGGACCCCAAACCCACTCAATTTTGGGGTGATACCCCAAAAACTCCTCCCCAAACCAGGGACACCCCCAAAGAGAGGGGGGGGACACCCCCAAATTCGCGGGACCCCCCCTCACTTGAGGGTCTCCCCCGACATCTGGAGGTTGTAGCTGCGCTCGGGGTCGGGGAGGCTGTGGAAGCTCAGCAGGCAGGGGTGGAGGCGCTGCACGTCATCCCGCACCTGGGGCACCCCAAAAACACCTCCTGAGCACCCCAAAAACACCTCCTGAACACGGGGACCCCCTCGAGAGACCCCTCCCCAAAAAAGGGGCCCCCAAATATGGACCCGAACTTTGGGAACCCCCGAAAGGAGCCCCCACTGAAACCAGGCGTGTCCTGAAAGGAATCAAAGCTTGGGGCACCCCAAAAACACCTCCTGAGCACCCCAAAAACACCTCCTGAACACGGGGACCCCCTCGAGAGACCCCTCCCCAAAAAAGGGGCCCCCAAATATGGACCCGAACTTTGGGAACCCCCGAAAGGAGCCCCCACTGAAACCAGGCGTGTCCTGAAAGGAATCAAAGCTTGGGGCACCCCAAAAACACCTCCTGAGCACCCCAAAAACACCTTCTGGGGTTCCCAGGGTGAATTTTGGGGTTCCCAGGGTGGATTTTGGGGTTCCCCAGGGTGGATTTTGGGGTTCCAGAGGTGGATTTTGGGGTCCCCCACTCACAGGCCCGTAGCTCCAGCCCTGCTCGATGCGGGTCAGGGCCCAGAGATCAGGGTGGGTTTTGTAGGGTTTGGGGTTCCTGGGTGGATTTTGGGGCTCCAGGATGAATTTTGGGGGTCCCCAGGTGGATTTTGGGGTTCTCTGGGTGGATTTTGGGGTCCCCCACTCACAGGCCCGTAGGTCCAGCCCTGCTCGATGCGGGTCAGGGCCCACAGCTCGTGGATGTTCTCCGCCAGCTTCTCCCGGATGCGCTCCAGGTGTGGGGGCAGCACGATCTGGGGGGAGAAAAGGGGCGTTGGACCCCCAAAACACCCCAAAAACACCCCAAAACACCCCAAAAACCCCCAGATCCTTTCCCAATCTCTTCAAGTGCCTCTGAATTCCCCTCCAAGCCCCCCAAGATCCCCCCAAAATCTCCCTCTGGTCCCTCCAAACCCCCTCCATCACCCCCAAACCCTCTCCCAGTCTCCCTCGACCCCCCAAAACACCC